GTAGGGAAAAGGCTTTTGACCATCACTCACTGTTCATTCCTGGGGTCTCTCCTCATTCCCTTACTCATTATTTGACCAACCACTATCTCTAACTTCTCTAGATTTGTATTACAGAGTAACCTGCCCTCCACACCCTTCACCTGATGAGAAATCCTAAAGTCAAACTGCACTTCTCTCCCTCACATCATGCCTCTGAAGTTTTCCTGCTTGCTGCAACCTCAAGTTACATATTCAATTTACTTTTATGCTGAAATCTAACACCCTTCACGTGATGAGAAATCCTGAAGTCAAACTGCACTTCTCTCCCTCACATCAAGCCTCAAGTTTTCCTGCTCGCTGCAACCTCAAGTTAAATATTCAATTTACTTTTATGCTGAAATCTAACACTTTAAGTCATCCAAAATTTTCCCAAGAAAACCAACAGGTTCACACAATCAGCCTCTACGTTCTCTCTCTGCAGGTTGTGTGGTGATGAGAAATCCTGAAGTCAAACTGCACTTCTCTCCCTCACATCAAGCCTCAAGTTTTCCTGCTCGCTGCAACCTCAAGTTAAATATTCAATTTACTTTTATGCTGAAATCTAACACTTTAAGTCATCCAAAATTTTCCCAAGAAAACCAACAGGTTCACACAATCAGCCTCTACGTTCTCTCTCTGCAGGTTGTGTGTGTGTCTGTATGCATTAAGAAATCACGTCTTCTTCTCACTAGCTAAAAAATCTCCAATTTTACATTTGTGCTCAACAGAGTATTTCTTCTCTCAGCCTGTCACCTTCATCTGCCGCTTGATGCAGTGCAACAGTATTCATCATCCAAATTACAGCTTTCCTAAGGCTTGGCCTTTTCATTTTTACTTTTACAGAATGTTCCTGTAATTGAAGTGAGAAACGAAACACTCCATAAGACCTGGACTGCATGGCAACCATAAAATCCCAGCAGTCAGTAGGGATGGGTAAATAAACACAGATAAATCCCAGCATAAGATGCAACTGCAGCCACTGAGTTCTAACAAGGATATGAAGTGTAAGGAAAAAACCACTCCTGGAAAAGAAATTCAAAATGGGAGCTGAATGGTCAAGAGTAACACTTGAAGGTTTCTACACCCAAAACTAAGATATTCCAGGCTTCCCAGCAGAAAGCAGAGAGCATTTACCAGTTGTCCACATATCACTGGGCTTTGATTTCAATCAAGAACAAAATTAGGATTATATATTTATTCCAGCTCAGTTATCACGTAAGCAAAAGAATCTGCAAAAGTTCCCAATGAGCAAAAAAGCAATTGGAAGTTTCACTGGTAAGCTGAAATACATCATACATGTACTGGTAAGAGTGTCACCGTATAATGCGTCCTTCCTTTGTCTGAAGTGAGATGAAATCCAGTGAGACAACGTGCAAGCCTATGCTCCTGAGGGCTGCAAATTTTGGATGCAGTGTATTGGTTGAAAATAAAGAATCACTTCCACCACCTACTTTGTCCATAAGAAAATAGCTAGAACCACAGAAAACTGAACTACCTGAACTATTTTTGAAAAGTTAGTTGCTTTTCAACCAGTTTCCCTTTCTGAAGCAGCTCAGGATGGCATCCCAAAAGCAGCGTTAACACTAAATGTACTAATGTGGCAACAGTGATTTAGATCAGCTTCTGCTCCTGCAACCTCAGCCCTCTGCTTTGCAGCCCTTCCCAGAACAGCCCCGCCGTGACCCTGCCTCACGTCAGCCCTGGGTCTCTTGGTGTCTGCAGAAAGGCTCCTTCCCGAAAACCCGAGAGTGATCCCGCTCTGTCCTGGTAGAGGGTGGGTTGGAGGATCAAGACAAGGCACCTGTAAGAAGCTGGCAATGCTGTCTGCACCTCCCTGTCAGTCCCAGAGCTTCTCCACTGCACTTTAGCAATGTTTTTCCACAAGTTCCATTAGTCCATGAGAAACCACAGACAATATTCCAATAGTTTTCACAAGCAGTACTCTTTCTCCAATGTATGTGATAAACAAAGCAATGTATCTCTCCTGGGCTGCTTGAACACAGATTTGTGTTTGTAGATTATCTCCGCTACAGTAACTGTCAAATTTGTCCGTTCAATTCCGTTCCCCATTGTACCTTCAGTATCCTTGAACGCGACAACGCTGCCACATCGCTCCTAATAAAAGGTAGCGATGTGACAACCAGTGAGGCCAGAAGCCCCGTCAGAGCTGACTGCAATAATCCAGCGTTCTGGGAACAGCTTTTGACAGCGGTTCACTACCTTTGTCTGGACTCTGACTTCAGTCCCAGGGATACAGAGGAGGGTTTATTTCAGCCAAAAATGGGACTCTCTCTTTTGCTTCAGGTAAGCAGCAGAGACCTGGGATTTCACAGAACTGCTGCCAGAGACAAACATCTAGACCCTGTAGTTGCTTACATTTTATAAACCTGCTCACAGAATTAACCACTCAATTAACTGGCATTCAGTATCTCCAGTACTATACCACTGCAATAGGCAAGCATTTACACAACTGGCTTTAAGTCTGCCTATAGATGCAGCATTTTACCAATTCTTTGGGCCTTAGAGGGTGCTGCTATGACAAAATGATGACCCAGTAAGATATCCAGAGCAATGTGCTTAAAGGCCGTTAATGCCAAATGAAATACAAACTCCTTTTTATTAATCTATCCTGAAAAATTAAACAGTAGCACCTTGAAATGCCCCAGTCTCTGGGCACAGGTAGCTACTGCTACTCTGAGCAGCGTTTCCCCTTCCTCCCCTCTTATTTTAATTCTTTCCTCCAAACGCAGCAATTCATGTGGAAATCTTGATCTCCGATTCGGCCAGACATCCATCCACCCATGGCACAGGGTTACTGCGAACACGACACAGACGAACACAAAATAATGACTGGCATTTCTCTTGATCTTCCAAATCACAACTGGGATCAATGAACTCCCAAATTATCCACGTTGGAACTGCTCAAAGAAAATGTTTATTTTCAAGCATAGCTGTAAAACATTGTCACCTACAAGAAACAGGTGACATATTCAAGCCAAGAGCTCTGAGAGATTCATAGAAGAATTCTGTATTTATACAGCAATATCAAGTTATTTTAAGAGCTTTTGAGAAGGGACAAAGGTTCATCTCACAGCAAAAAGACAGTTACACAGGACTAAACCAATTCCATCCAAGTTGCTCCAAGCAATGAGTTATGATTTATGTAATCTGATTTTATAGTTACTTAGTTTAAAATCAAGGTGAAACTTGGAAAAAAAATGCTTATATAAAAAGCAAAAAATGGGTTGGTTTTTTTTTTAGCTTCTGTATTCTTTTATGTGAATTTTACAGGCTTTTAAAGGCAAAACTAAAGTGTTTAGAACTAAAGCCTGCAGCCTGTACCTCGGGCAGCTATCTGATTTTGACTTTAGCGTGAGGAAAGATGTGCCCTTGCTTCCATATGGCAGCTTTAACTCATTAACTGCCTTAACACACAGGCTCTGCTTTCAGTTTTAATTAGGACGTTACATCGCACAAATCTTCTCAGACCCTTCCATGTTTTGAAGTATTTTCTAAAATAAAGCTATTGTTCAGAGGAAATCTCCACACACAGCTCCACATGAAACAAGATGCAAGACCAGACATCAGTGCTTTCCAATTCAATTTCTTTGAATATTTTTCCAGAAATCATTTATCACACAATCTCCTCCGTATTATCTCAGCTACCACACTAATGTGTAAAAACGGACAGGCCAACTGCTATATGTATTTATTTTTTTGGCTGCGTTAAACCTTCAACAGTTGACAGCTTTTATTTAAGCCTGCCTGTGCCGTGTACAGCATCAGCAATTCTTTTCCTCTGGCTTTCCCATAAAGTGTCCTGTTTGCTTTATTTCCCTGGTTTAGTTTCTGCAGAACTGGGAGATGAAGCCTGAGGAATAACAGCATGTTAACATAAAAAGTAACAGCAAGTGCATCCCCTCTTTTCTTCATTGAATTAACATTGTAAGTGTTCTGAATTATCAAAATTGACCAATTACTGCCATGCCCCAGTTGTTTTTAGAGTGGTTATCACTATTAAAGTCTGAGTGCATTTGTTCTACTTGGCTCTAACCTGTTTGTTTTGCCTTGGAGCATAAAACTCAGAGTTCAAACACTCAAGTAAATTCCTACACAGCTGCTTTACAACTGTAAAATGAACTCCTATTATAAACCCAGAGATAGCAGATTAATTCCAATTAACATCTACTCCTTCATTATCCACTGTCTATGCGGACGGGTGCTGTGCCATGGCACGTCAGGAGCTCTACAAACAAATACCCTGTGCAGTTTACAAGCTGAAGCTCGACACAGCACCACTGCCCTCCTTACAGCTCCCAGCCCTTTACATGTCTCTTCTGTCACATGAAAAACTCGGCTGCAGGCAAGGAGACTCCTGTTTTATCATCTTATATTAATTCTTATCTAGAACTGTAATGTAAAATCCACTATTTGTCATTTTATTACACAGCTTTCAATCATCTGTTCCAACTTCTTACTATGTCCAAAGAAATAAAAGTTGTATTTACAATACCGTGAAATGAACGGTGTGCTTCAAATCATCAAGAAAATACTCTTCAAGTGCTTCAGGTTTGCCTTCCACCTTAAACACACAGGCTGGATTCAGACCCTCCTGAACTGGAAGTGCAAAGTAATTGGCAAATTCTTCACAGCTGATGGTAGCAGACATCAGTATTACCTGTTAAAAAGTCCCACAGCAAATGGAAACCATTAATTTTAGCACTAAATGCCATGCTCTGCTGGAATCTCCACTTACTCTTTATGCTAAAATGCTCTAATGTTGGTAACTACAGGAACATATCCTAGGCATGTTTGAGACAATCAAAGCTAAGTGCTGAAGATTCCCTGGGCAGCAATGGAGAAAGGCAAGCACCTGAAAGGCTAAGGCCTTTTTCACAACATGAAAAATACATTCCTGTGGTAAAGGTTCAACCTAAAAACTTACAGTGCTCTTCCTTAAGCTTATCACCTCTATGTGGCCCACAAAAGAAAAGAGTGTTTGGTATTTTCAACTCCCATTTGACTAAACAGTTAGATCAGATATCAGCGCCTTTAACTCCATCCAAAGATAGGCCTACTGCTATAGGAGCAGTAACTGTAATCATAACCCAGACTTCAAAATGCTACTGTAATGATTCTGAAATACGTCAAATAATTCTTCTTTCCATTTCAATTCATTTATTCAACTTAGGATCACACTAAGCTCCTCCCTCTGCTGACTCTGCCAGGATTTTTAACCTGCATTCACCTAAACAGAAGAACAGAAATCGCATTTGCTACCTGGTGACACCCTTTCTCTCAATTATTATGACATTCACAGCTGTGTTGTTTTCTCCCTGGTTACGCAGCGTGGGATGTGCAGAATGGGGGGAGGACGAAGTGACTTGGTGGCCATGGCTATTTACTTCTGAGGTCTGCAATGTCCAGACTAGGAGACAAACCCCTCATACGTAGTTCGTATCACCCTGAATTGGACATACATTTTTTCCCTTAAATAGGCCTCCTTGCACCCTTTTGTTTCACAAACCCAGGGGAGCAGGGAGGAGAATCTTGCATTTGATTGTCTCAGATTTATACAATATGAAACCATGACCTGAAGCAGAAACTGCAGGGAAGGATATAAAGGAGAAAAGTTTTCCAGTAACAACTTTGAGAGATTTAATCAGAATCATAGGGACAAAAATCCTGCAGAAATCTATACAAGAAAAATGTTTTCTATCAGGAAAAGATGACAGGACCTGTAGAAATTCCTGCTCTTGACACAAACCAGAGACAGCATAAGGGCAAACTTCTTACAAACTGAGTGCCATCAAATTATTTGGCACTCTTGGTAGGCAGAGCCAAGTGCTAAGGAAGCCTGAACAGCTTCACATACTCTCTCTGAATGTAAAGGGAAATGAGTTTTCATATCAGCAAGAAAAGGGGTAAAAGATCTAAGGTGCACAGATGCCCTATGGCAACTGGAAGGGCACTTGCAGTGAGAGGGAGCATGCGTGGAAGATCTTAAAGATTAGATTATCTGAGTTTGAATCACTGCAGTGAGTTGTGCAGAAGAACAGGTCCCCTTCTGATAGCCACAAAAACAGCCACAAAAATGCAGATTCAGGTCATGTCTGCTTGGAACAGAACAGCTTGCAATAACTGCACAATTAAGGGACGGGTACAGTCTTGCTAAATCTCTGCAGTTCCACACAGCAGCACAGAAATATACTGAGTTAGCCTAAATCTATCATCTGTGTTTAATTTCTTACAGTTCTCCATGACCTGGAGACCACAAAGACTAAACGTGTCCTGATAAATCCCTGCAAACTCTGCTTCAGTACAGAGCACAACTTCCTGATGTGCAGAGAAAGATCTCAGCCACGTTTTAGTAGCAGAAATTACAACACTCCATTTCTGGTTTTTGCTGTTTTTCCAAGTATGGTGTCCATTTAGAAACAAGCTCAGCATTTCCAAGAGTTAATGCTCCCATATTTAAACCAAGGATAAGCACTGCCCTCCACACTCACCGTGTAGTTCTAGTCAAATATCCATCTTGCATGTTTTAGCCTCGAGCAGACTTTAGAAACTAATGCATTTTAACATGAGGAAAAAAAACCTCTCTCAGAACACATTATAGCAGCCAGCAAGAAAATATCCTTTAGTCTGCTCGCTTATGAAGAGAGGCAAACTAAACAACGTTTGGGTAAAAAATAATGATGTGTTTTAAGGTAAATTCTGTGTAGACCAAAAACATGTACAAATTTGTTGTTGCAAGTAGCAGAATACGCTTCAAACCTACCTTTACAGATTGTGAGTTTGTATGCAACAGTTTCCGGATGACCAAGAGCAAGAAATCCATTTCTTCTGTACGCTCATGCACCTGGAAGACATCGTCCACACATTTATTTATTTTCATTAATTCATGCCTTTCTCCTTGGCCATCTCTGCCTTTGCTGCTCCATTTCATGTCCGATTTTCATAACTCTGAACAATACATTTTTGTAGAAGAAAACACCTCTCCAGACTATGCACATTAATTCACATTTTAAAATCCCAACACAGTCACTGAGAGGATTACAGCACCCCTTATGAAAACCATACAATACTATTAAGTGATGAAAATTGTAGAATAATGACCAGAAAACCAATGGTGAGCTGCAGCCACTGCTAGAGCTGACGATAACTCTGATACTGGGTAAGTCAACTGTACTGGTAATATCACAGATGATCCAGGCAGGGATAACAGCTAAGCAAACTGAACAGACTTCCCTTGTTCCCATGGCTTTAGCTATGATCAAAACACAGCCGCTCTCTAACATGTGATTTTCCACCCCATTCCTTATATATACTAGCAACTGGCTTTTCTGGCTGCTCCTTGCAGTTCAATAAAGGCTTCTTTTCAACATTATCAATGATGACCATGCTCCTTTCTTGAATTATTACAGTTTAAATACATTAAGTTCAGCAGCTTTTTCCAAAGCTCAACCCTCAAAGGTCAGTGTTAATTCCATGTAAGGTAATTAGCACATTCCACCATACTATAAAGAGATATTTACAATCAATATTGCCCCATTACAGAAGATTTAGCTAAGGCAGTTTTCAGGCTGACACCAAGTTCTTGCTGTGATTAGTCATGATTTTCAAACCCAGGTTTGCTTAGACCTAAATGCAATACCCTACCAGGGCTGAGACCTGCCACTAAGAATGGAGAGCACTCTTACCAATTCTCTGCATGGCAAGAGACAAAAAATAAGGTTTTACTAGTATGAAATTTAAATGTAATTCCAGCAACTTACTTCGTCAATAAAAATGTGTGTGAATTCAGCCAGGCTTTTGGCATGAACCACTTTCTGAAGCAGAACTCCAGTTGTCATGTACAGCAACCTCGTCTCCTTCGTGGAAACGTTCTCCAAACTCACCTAACGCAATGAGAAAAACACAGATGTGAACAGAGAGTTAATGTGTTCACAGGAATTATGCGTCTGTTATGCGTCCAAAATTAAATACAGTGTAAACCCGTGAGAATTATGCATTCAAACTTGTAAAAGCCTTTGTACAAATGTGTTTTTAAAGCCCAGATTCAGTTAACTGCTCTAAGCTTTTCTTGATCCACCTCTACCTTTGCGTAAATTGTTCCAGTTGGGACAGCCATTTAATGTCGTGTAGAGATACATGGTCTGGTACAGCAGCAGAAACCTTGGGAAGTGGAGACATAGGATGTGGAGCAGAGAAAAGCAGAGGTGGGACAGCAGCTGAGGCAGAAGCTTGGCACTGTAGACCCCATGCTACAGATAACTCCCTAATGGCCAGTTAAAAACTGGACAGAATGGGTTTTACAGGTAAAAAAGCATGGAACATACATAAATGGCATCATTCGAGGCACATTTGGATGGAACCTGGAGCTGCGGATCAGTGAAGAAAAAGAGGTAAATGCCCGTTTGCAAACATATATAAATATGACCTAAGTGGAATAAAGGAAGAAACAAGAAAAAGAATGGAGAGGACACAGAAACCAACACGTTCTTCCCAGAAAAGGGCTCCAGCAGCAGACAGCTCTCCATGAACACCCTCCTGTCACCAACACCAGCGTGAACCACAGCCACAGGATCCAGAGAAACTCATCCAGAGACAGCTGTGAAACAGCCTGGCCACAGACACAGGGCAGTTCTGCCACAGCTGTCAGGTAAACGTGGCAAGTCAAACAAACCAGGCACGTTAATGGAGAAATTTAGAGGAAAAATGACAGAATGCAGTTCTCCTGCAACAATATCAGTGGTTAATAACATAGATGTGTCCAATTACCAGAATACAGAGTTAAATATTTGTTGGAGTCTCGCCAGCATTGGTAGTTGCTCAACTTTAAAAGCTTAAACATTTAATTATGAATATTTAGCAGGAAACAGCCAGAAACCTGCAATCCCACTTCAAAAGCAGATTCTCATCAGCCATCAGTATGATGAAAATGTTTAAAGGGAATCAAGAAAGAAGACACAGTATTTTTTAATACAATTTGAAGTTTTCTTATACCTGGTATCCTACAAATCCACCCAGGACCCACGATCGCTGCTTGCTGATCCACCTGGCAATGCTGCTGGCGCCAATTTTCCGAGGCTGGGTGACAGCGATGTTGCAGTAGATCGATCGCTGCATGCAGTAATCCAGAACATACTGAGGAATCTGTGTGCTCTTACCGCTGCCAGTTGCTCCTTGTACAATCACAACCGCATTGTTTTCTATCAGAGACACTATCTGAAACAATTTTTCAAGAAAACTCGTAAGTCTACAAAACAACCCAAAACAGATTTCAAATAGATTTGAAATGTCAATAGCTTCCAGGCCACACATCAAAGCTCTGTAAAACACTGCAATATTTTCTATCATCTCCTTGGCATCTGTGGGTAACTGGACTCCTAAAACACAGTGGAAGATCACAGAGAAGAACACGGGCACGCGCTTGCTTACATATTTTATATAAATACCTATAAACAGGAAGTGTAACAGCAACGGTTCTTACTCTGAGAATTTTAATACAATGGTTCTGTAAAATGCTTAAACCAGAAGTTTCACAACAAAACACGAGTCTCAGCTTTACTCCATGAAAGGACAATGAATTACCTCTTCCCTGTGCTTGGCTATAGGCACGTCCCCGCGTGCGTGGCCAGTTACTGGGACTGAAGTCCAGGCGCTTGCTTCCCACTGAGCCAATGGCACATCTGGGCACAAGATAAATGAGAGGAAGTCACTTCAACAGAGAAAAGGAAAGACCAGTGCAGGAAAATGGTCACAGAATTTGGAAACCTAACCTCTACCAAACTTGGAGCACATACTTGTGAGTATTAATAGAACTAATACTTTTTAATATTAATAGATAGAAGAGATTTGATGTGTTTTATGCAAACGCTGTTACTGGCAGCAGCTCTGAAAAACATCACTTCTGTGTATAAGCCACCATCGGTGTCAAGGATGTAAGAATTAAAAAGCAATCATTAAAAATGATAATATTTCTGCACAGTCTGCATTACAACTGCCAAATCCACCCCTGTTCTTTCTGACAGAACAATATTCATGCACTGATGTGTTGTTTCCCTTAAAGCCTATTAGGCCCACAGTACAAAATAACCCGTAAGTTGGGAGGAAGACCACTGTATCTCTACTACTTGGCAATTAAACCAGGTCTGGAAAGCATCATGACCTTTCAGTGTGACACCACACTGTGCAGTCTCTTGGCAGGAGGTGGTCACTCAGCACTGGGAAATACAAGACAAAAATCCTGCAGTGCTGCCATGACTTGGTGCTCAGTTTAATAACGAAAAACAAAAGAACAGCTTAACAGGTATGGGCACAGGTGTGGAAGGGGAAAACCAGGACGAGACTTCAGTAAGTGACAACTTCGTGAGTTACAATTAAACAAAAATAAACCCCAGTATCCTGAAACCAAAGTGGCAATGCTTTCCATTTCAAAGAGGTTTCACCAGGTCCTATGGTGAAATTTACTCATTTGCACACAAATAACAAAAACTTAGACTTCACTACTTTTTTGTCATGTTATTTCTCTAAGAAATACATAGAGTAGCAGGAAACAAATCTAGTATTCTTTTTAGCAAGGCAATACTTACTGTAAAGTAAAGGCTATCACCTGAATACCTGACCGCGCAGCTACAGCTCCCTTTCTGGGAAGGGCTCCTGACAGCCTCGCACGGCAGCGAGGCAGACACAGGAGGAATAAAAATTGTCTTCAAGTGTCAAGGGATACAAAATGAGCTATTCCCACATTAAAACAAACCCCCAAGACCAAACACTTCATTAAGACAGCTTTGTAAGTACCAAAGAAAGGATCTCTACTCAAGTTCTGTAACAGCACAGTCACTGGTGATCATCGCACAGCGATTTACTTAGCACTACCAAAAGCACTACGAGAACTGAGTATCAGCATGCCTGGAAACCATTAACTGTCCTCTTTAAAATACTTTTGGCCAAGTTTCTAAATATACTCCCCAGCCACGTTCCTGCGCAGCGCTGTGTCACAGCCGCGCCGTGCAAAGGCCGAGCGGGTCCCCTCTGGCACAAACACATCACTGCCCAGGCAAGCGGGGGCTCTGCACGGCTTCACCAGCGCTGCAAGAAACCCCGGGCTGCTGCGGAAGAGCTCAGTGTCAGCACCTTCCTGCTAAAGCCACACGGCCTGCCCACCTCTGCCAGGTCCTGCATGGAACAAATGCAATTTGGACAAGCGTTGTAAAAGCGCATGACGCAAGACAGCAGCAGCTCTGTAGCTGTGCTAACAAAAAGGAACAGAGGGACAAACCATTTAAATGGTAGGATTCACATTAAAAGCTTCTCTAAGACAGTAAAACACCACTGTGTTAATAAGAAATCATTAACTTAAAATTCAATTAATAATTTTGTTTTTAAAATACAAAACCAGAAACAACCAACCACCAGTATTCATGTATCTGCTGAATAATCAGATCTGTTTGATCAATGATGTGTATCTCTTTTTTTCATTGAGGAACCAGCCTTTTTTATACTCCTTTCTATACGACAGTCCCATGACAGCAGTATCTTACCTTCTACTAAGCACAGAAGTTTGGGAAAAAATCATACCCAAAAGAAATGGTCATCCAATGGAAGCCACCATCAACACGTAGAGAACTGGCAGCCATGTAACCACCTAATGTAGATGCTGCAAGTACTAAAACCAGCGTGACTTGGTTTTTTCTCTCATGAAGACATGAGCTGTGCGCTGAAACTGAACAAACACCACAGAGTTTGCCTGGGAACCAACACCACGACCTCTCCCTGGAGCAGCAGCACAGTCTGGGGCCACGGAGCCAACTGGGAGCTGCGGATGGACACTGGCACCACCACAACAGCCGTCGTGAGTCCCACTGGCAAACTGGGGATGCAGGGTTTTACCCAAATCCAGTATCATTATTAGTGAAAAACAAAGCCCAGAAAATCCACAAAACTGGCATTGGGAACATGAGTGACCACCTTAGAAGACATTGAACTTTTTTTTTTTTTTTAAAATGAAATGCGTTGCTCCGCACAATGAAGACTTGCTGCAAAACAGAAATACTTTAATATACACCTCTATGGAAGTCCCAAGGTTTTTCTACTCACTTAGATAGCTATTCAACTGTGGACTCTATACCACACAGAGTAATTACCTTCAACTGCTGTTGTTTGCATTTGGTTTGGTTTCATTTGGTTTGGTTTGGGTTTTTGTTTTGTTTGGAGGTTTTGTTTGTTTTGCTTATGGGGATTTTCTGTTTCTTTTTTCCACATTATTTACGCAGTAAGTCCCCAGATGAGAACTGGTCTTTAGCAAAACAGATCACTCCAGCAAATACAGATACAAGGAGCTACAGGACTACAGGCTTACCAGCAAGAAAGCCATCAAATTTCATTTCTTCAACTGCTTATACTTCCTGGAAAATATCATGATGACTGGGACAGCAAACCCAACTGGTGCACACCTTTGTAAGGCACCATGTGCAAATATGCGCCTTGGATTCTGGCATGCAGGGAACGCAGGACCCTTCCAACCTGAAAACAGCAAACTGAGGAAGCATGCAACTGCCCATCACGTCATCTATGGCAAACAAAGTGTTTCCATGTGTAAGAAACATTAATGCAAATCCAGAATGTGGAATTACATTCATGTCTCTGTTCAGCATTAGTACAAGATACTGAAAACTCAGTTATGGGAAATTTGCCTTCTCACTTCCTTTTCAGTTATAATTAAAGTCCTGTAGAGGTACACAGACTGCCATGACTGGAACAGTCTGCTGCCCATGGAAAGAGCCATTTTCCAACATCTCTGTTACTGCAGCCCATAAAGTAGACGTATTCCTTCTGGTACCTGTGTCCTGAATTGAATTTGAAGAGATCCTTCAACACAAGATCAGATTTTTGTATTCACCAGCCATGGGAGAAGAGATTATCCAGTTGGATCTTGGTATCTGCTGCTAATCAAATTAAAATGAGATGCATTAAAGAGAAATACTTGGAAGTGCTGGTCAGTTTTCTGTGTCTTGAAGTCGTCACTGCTGGAGGATGCCCTCAGGTAATAAAAGTCACCACAAGCAATTTGTCTTTGCCTTCTGTTCTCCACTGCAATCCTCTTCAACTTGCCCATCTTTTGAATACAAAAGAATTTGGGATGAAGATCTGTTCTGGGATTAACTTTCCTGGCACACCTCTGTTTTGAATCCAAAGCATTTAAGGAACTCTATAAATTAAGTTTTTTCTATTTCAGAAACCTGATCAGAAATAATGTTTAAATTCAGGGCAAATCAATTTCTCCTTTCTGAGACATTAACTGATCTATGGTATTTCATAGCATTAATCAATGCCACTAAACTTTTAAAGCAGCACTGAAGGAAATTCTGCTTAGTCAACTTATTGCTGTCCTTCCTTTGCCAGTGAAGCACGTGAAAAGCCAGGGAACACTGCGCTCCTGAACTACAACACTCAGAGCTTCTTCCTGTCCCTTTATTGCCCCATTTTCACCTTTCAGTGTCTCCTCCTCTCCCACAGACACAATGCAATGTCAACATTCTGTGGCGAGGACAGTCAGATGCACTGCACATGCTGGACAGCCCAACCCCGTGGCTCCATCACCCACCTGAGCTCCAGAGGTCACAGTTTGCAGAAGCACTGAAGGACAGTAATTTCTAGAAAATGCCTCAATTTGACAAGTTTTGGTCCATCAGCAAAGGGATACAAAAAGCACTACAGAGAATGACAAGCAGAACAGACAAAACATATAAATGTCCTTTTCTTGGGAAAGCAGCTGCATTAACAAATTTGGAAATTAAGAGGCACAGGAAGAGTTTGAAGCTGAGCTGTCCTGACAAGTGAGTCAGCCTCAGCCTGCTCCTACCAGAGCTCCTAGGAAAGAAGGGCAACCAAATTTCTCTGTAAAGGCAGCTCAATGCGACAACCAAGCACACACAGAAATAACGTGGATAGAAAACGGGAAAACAGACTAAAGACAAACCCAATCAATGGAATCTTTTCCTTGCAGATGTATTTCAGTAATATATCTACATTTATCAGTACAATAAACCCAGTGTACGCCCATGTATCTATGCAACAGCATTATATGTACGTTGTGGTTTCCAGAAAATGTTTACTTTTTAATACCATGCCTTATAGAAAACAAACAAACAGACAGCATTAAACAAACAAGACTGAGGTGTCATCGTTTCATTTAGGGGAAGAGATAGGAGGAAAAACCACAAGGAGGAAAAGGACAGGTTTATAATACTAACCAAATATAAATGCACATATATTTTTACCTGGTTTATGGACAAGCTGATCATTTTCAACCACATCCAGTTCTTGTGTCTCTGCTTCTCTGTCTTTTTCAGCACATTCAGCTCCAGTGGTCTCTGGGATAAGCGGCCTAAAGAGGAAAGAAATGACAAATCAATAAACGCTTCCTCATTTAACAGCCACGGGTACCTCTGGAAAAAACAGCATCACACAGTAAGTTCAGAGTCTCCAAGTCACACAGGAACCACTTCAGTGAACAAACTTCAGAAACCAATTTTGTCTCTGCAGTGAGATGCCAGCCTGAGGAAAGTGCCACACTAAATCTTCTTGATTAGATTCAAAAAACCTGAGCTCCCAAAGTAGCCATCCTTTGGGTTTTTAATACCCAGGCATTTCTCTCCTAACGAAAGTCTACAATTTCTTCTGACCAAAGCTATGAAATCGCTCCATTTCATCAATTCCTGACACAGTACAATCAGGAAAATACATGTAATTCCTGCACGATTCCCTGGAGACAGAGCATGGGAGTAAACAACCATCTCACTGCTCTAAGGAAAGAGCTTTTGGTTTTGAGCCAAGAAATTATGGTGGCCAGAGGGGGAAAAGAAGAAAAATCAACACAACCACTCTATCAGTGAATTTTATGGAAATTCATTACACAGAAGGCAAAGCCTACACATAACATGACTAGAACTGAATGGGATTTTAAAATTCTCTTCTACATAAATAGCATGAAGAAAGCCACACTGACTTCACTACAGAATAAAGCAGCATATATACAATGATTGTATGATTATTAAATCATAAATGAGCTTTAATGAAGAAGAGTTTTGGACATATCAAAAGCTCTTTTGTCTTTCTGCCCTTTTTTCAAAAATACAAACTAGAAGTGTGTCAACAGTAATGGCTTCTTATTCTATTTTAACAATATTTTAGGCAAAGAGCTAAGGCAGCCTTTCCCTGGATCTCAAGTATCTCTCAATGCAGGGTTCAACAGGACTGCACGCATCTGCACAACCACCATCACTGATACAGCTGGGACAGGGCCACTCCATGACAGCCCCGAGTCCAAGGCACAGCTTGGAAAAGATCACACCCGTCATGGTAAAGGAGGTTATTCCACTGGATGTGTACTAAAACACAAGCCAAACCCAACAAATACGATGAAGGTACCAAAGCCAAGCACTCAGTGGTTGAATGTAACAAAATGAAGCTTGGCTGCACAGTCTCACTTTGACAGCATGGTGTGCACACGCTTTAGTGAAGGACCGCAGCCTCGGTGCTGGACACATCTTCTGACCACAAACTCTTGTTATGCAGTCAATACAACTCGTCCTTCAGTCCTCCGCAAGAAAAAAGTGTCTGATTTAAGACATTAAACACTGTCCCAGAGGAACACGCGTTACTTGATCATCAGAGCCCTGAGTGATAGCAAATCACCCAATAAAAACCTCCACTGAGGGGTAGGGATTAAGGGTGAGAAAGGGGGGACCCTGCTCCTCCTCTGCTGCGCAGACCTTGCAGAAGCAGCCCTATTTACTATTTCAGCAGCAGCTGAAGTCAGCCAAGAAACAGTTTGACATAATACCAATACATTCAACTAAATGCTCCTGGAGATGGAGAAAAATAAAACCATACAGCTCCAGCAGAACGAGGACAGTATGGCCTCAGTGAGCTGGGAGAATACATTAATTTTTCGTTGTTGTTTGGATATTTTCTTTCACAAATTAGGTTTTCCATCTTCAGAACGCAGCATGCAGTAAAGAAACCTCAGGCTACACAATGAATAAAGAAAATATTTAATAGCCAGTCATTAAGAATGAACATTGCTCACTCGATGCACTGAGTCAGGAACAGTCTTGGGGAAAATCATATGCAATTAGAAAACCGCATATGGGCACATGAAGCAAGAAAAACAACCTTAATTACATCATTTCTCAATGGTTTAATGCCCCACTTTGCAGCTTTAATAAAATTAAAAGCTTACAGAATATATTTAATATTAAATTCTATAATTAATAATATTTTTAAAGCAAAATGGGAAAAAACCACATTCTGAAGCCCTCTGGCACTCTCCTAAGCCATCAGAACAAACAAATCCTTTCAGGCAGTCACTAATGAGCCATCAGGAGGTACCCTCCTGTATGTACCTGGACACACAGAAAGGGATGGAGCATTTTTCTAATGAGTTTCAAGAATCATTTGCTGGCAGCAGAGGCATGCCAAGAGTCAGGACATTCAGGCCAGGAAAGGACACCACTAATGAGGGGACTTCTCTCAACTCCTCCTATGAAGCCCGTGTCCGTCCAACACACCACTGCATCTCTTCCCATTTCTGGTCCCTCGGACACAGTGAGGCCCCACATTTCCACCCACCTGCCCTGTCACAGCAGATTTCCTTGGCACTCACCGACTTTTAGACTCCTACGGGTCTTTGATCTCCAAAGACATCACAGCATTGGCAAATGACAACTTTTCAGCTACACACATGAAACACATTCAGAATTTTACCAAATGAAGAGGCAGCAAAAAGCATTTTTTGACTCTAACGCAATCACTGAAAATTTAAAGTCAAACGCATTGTCCACCCCGAGAGGGCAAAGCAGACAGAATGATCAAGCACTGAGAACACGATCGGTCACCTGATTCATCTTTTCAAATATTCCTTGTAAAGTTTATAGGAAAATTCAGTGTCGTCAGCAGAAAATTGAATACAGCTGCTTCTTCAGGAGAATCACTAGAAGGGAAACAGTTTAACACCAGAAACCACTGACACATCCAAATGTAAATGCTCTCAAGTACACCAAGAGTGCCTGCCTTTCTTTAAATGAATTCAGCTGGAGAAAGGTCTTCCTTTTCTTAAAGCTACAGAATGACCTCTACAAGGCCATCAGAACAGAGTGCACTCAGTAAAATCTTCTATTTTGGCATTTGAAATATTAACCAAAGCATTTTCACACACACTTGGTTATCAAACATAGAAACAATTGCCCAATCTCAACCATAAAGGGGTCAGGGACTTTGGTTCTCTCTATATACTACAGTGCCAGTGCATTCACTGAACACAGCTCATGTCTCAGGAAGCAATACTTCAGAAAGCCTTATTAAATGAACACATGGATAGTGTTATTCCCTGAAAAAATAACACTGCTTATGCAGCACACCTGATGGTATAAAGAAAATACTCACGTATGTAATGAAAGTCTAAGGACAAAGATACTTTCTAAACCCATTTCAGATAAATTCCTATTAACTGTTTAATTTTAGGGTAGAAGCTCCTGTTCAAGGCCATGTAACTTCAAGAACATTTCCATCTGACAACTGAAAAATCAAGGTGTTCTAGGGCTGTGTTTGGAAAAACTCCTCTAGATGGAATTTTTGCTTATTTATTATTTTTGCTTATGTTTTTGCCTCATTTGGCACAAAACGTCCTGTTCACATGGGGCTGGGAGCTGAAGGTAAGAGCAGTGCCCCTCCTGTCACCCGTCAAGAGAGGGACCGCCCCGAGCCATGGCTGTGTCACCCACAGAAGCTGTCCCCTACTTGGGGATCTCTGGTGGGGGAATCACTTCAAAAAACACTTGGTCTTACAGCACACAGAGCAGTATTTTGCTGTACAATTTTAGTCCGATATATACAGTAGACTGTTTCAAAGCCTCTTTTCTGAAACTAAAATAATGTGACACTTTACATAACTGAACATTTGCCGTGACAGTAAATAACCTTCCACTGGGTTTACTGAAGGACACACTAAAAATTCCTTTCCTTTCCTTTCCACTGGCAGTTGGCGGTTCCAGACTTTTAGAAATCTGGTCTTACCTGCAGAAATACATTCACTTTAAAGAAATAATGTACTGCCATTCAAAACCCATAACGCTTCAGTCACAAAACCAGACTTCATGTATATAGGAATCTCAAAGGCTTGCACTGCTCTTCCCACAGAAGTTGCTCAGGGCTCCTGGTTTTAACTAGCTGGGGAGAGGGAACACACCAAAACTACTTCACAAAATCCTGAAAAACTCAACTGCAAACGTTTGGATTTGGACAAACTGTGTAGAAGTATCTCAGAAATACTTGTCAAACAGCTCTGCAACACACCCCATCTTCCACCTCACCCACAATTCAAACCCAAGAAAAGCACCCACCACAAACGCCAGGGTGAAACAGCCCAAATCCTCCAATTTGCTGTCCACTACTCCGGGATTTTACACCAGCGGAGGAGACTGGGCTGCACTGGGGGGCTTCACAGACCTGGGCTCCTCTTGGAGGCGAGCTTTGATGAGCTCCTCCTCCTGCAGCCACAGCTCACATAGGGAGCTTGGATGAGGGCAGCTACTACCTGTGGCCATCTCACACGAAACAGTTAATAATAACATTAATTTTACAAAATTATCAGTTATTAATTGTAAGTTAAATAGGTCTTATTTATTAACTTAAGCCAAAAGCACAGATCCTCTATCAAGCGTTGTTTCTGATCCTTCAGCAACATTCACAAAGCACCTACACTCCTTAAAACTTCAAAATCTGTCCCTTCCATCTGACCACAAAGGCGAGGAACTTGGCCAAACAGAAAAAAGAAATAAAAGGACATGCAGAGCATAGGCCACTATGCCACTGCGTTGAAATGGCAGCAAATGAGCACTGGTTAAGACGTGCTAGCAACACTTTCGGTCAAATAAGAATGATGACAGTTTCTTGGTGTGTCATGAGTCCCATTCATAAAGCGAGCCACACTCCTCGTCTCTTTCAATGGTAAGTGTCAGCAGCATCTCAGATGGTAGATGCCATGAATTCTTGCAGAGCAAAGAGTAAGAAGCTTCTCCTCCATCCGTTCTCACTGTTTGTCACCTTGTTGCTCACACCAGTGCCGTGTCTGGTCAAATGCAAACGTTTTGGAAAGGTTGGTGTCCTTTTTCCCTGCGATCACTGCAGTGATGCAGCCGAAAAGCACAGCCCCGTGGCACCAGGGGACAGCAGAGCCAACTGCTCTGCAGCACCAAAAACTCCTCAAATTGCCTTTCTGTCAGAAAAAAAGTGTGGTCCAACAGCAGCCTCAATCAGCACAAATAAATACTGAATTTGTACTTCTTACAGACAGGCACAGCAGTAGTTCCAGGTTTCTTTAAGCTGTTTTTTTATTATAGGACCTGGTTGACAGTTTAGGAAATTCTTTTGCATATGTATGTTAAGACACACATATTCAGACTAAAGGCCTCTTGCTGTACATGGATTCGCAGCTTTTTTCTCCCAAAATATGGTTACAGAACAATACTCGTTCACAAGAAAGCCCCACACTGAAAAAACAGTTGAATCCCTGGAGATCTTTTATTCTTTGTAAGAATTTCAGACCTTGCAATAGCAAGTCTGTTTCAAGAATACGCCTTTTGCATTACAGCAACTTATTTATTACAGTAGCATCAAGAGGCCATAATCAGAATGTGAAACTTGTTTAACCACACATCGTGCAAATATCCAAGTTTCTGTGCTAAAGAGATTATTTTACTTTTTTTTTAAATTTCTTTATTTGCAAGCCAAATGTCATGAAACCAGCAGAGTTAAAAGCCATGGGGAAACCACATCTATCCATCACAACCCATAAATCCTTACCACCACAAAGCAGCCGCTATTGCAGAGATGCATTTGGATTGCTCCATCATTTCATGTGGGGCTGCCTTCACTCACCTACGCTGACAAAGTTCAACAGCCTCCTTACACAGGAGCTCTACCACACAAACCTCTACATTAGATCGCCCAGCTCCATTCAACCACTCTTAAGGCAAGGCCTTTATTCTTCATATGGCCAGAAGGCACAGGAGACACAAGTCAGTACATTTATCTCCACAGCCACGCAATCACAGCCTCCCCACAGGCCTCCACTTCTGTTGTTAGCTCAGAAAAAGGCTCCTGAGAAGCACACGGGTATTTGACTTACACAGCTGGAGTAACCTGCAGGGGGAACAGCACACACGGTGCAACACAATCATTGAGAAGTCCACGGGATAAAAATAAGCCACCATCAAGGTCTTAAAACACAGTTTGTTCTGTACATAGCCGCTATAAAATAGAAATAAATAACTGTGTGTCTTATACAGGGATGTATAAAGAGATTCCACGTTACCCCAGGCTGACGCACTTAATTCCTTATTTACCCATGCTATTTTCAGTTAGCCTGTGCTCTTGTAAGGCTGTTTTGGAGTAAGGCTCTTGCTGATGAATCTGGACCTGCCAGAGCAAGAAAGGAAAAACCACTAAAACTGTCTGAAGTGATTTAGGAAAGGAAACCTGCACTTGGACTCCAGCAACGCTTGCTGCTCCCTCAGCTCTATTTGAGAACAGCAGCAGAAACAAGCCCAAAATGTGCTCCAGAAAAAGGGATGGTTATCTTCAGAGGAGGCATAAGAAATGCTTCTATGAAAAGACACCCGTTTTGATTTACCTGTGTAAGAGGGGGTATCACTCACTGCAGCGCAAAGAAAATTATTAAATGATAGAAACAACAGATGCTTTAGGAATTCACTACATTCCTTGCCTCAAAAACGAGGAATACAAAGTAAAATAAGGAGGTTGAAGGAAAAGCTTAGAAAAAGTCCAAAGAATCTTCAATTTACATTTTATATTACACACATGGACAATTAATTTACAGGAAAAAAACCAATTAGCAAATAACTGCGCTGCTGCAGTGCCAGAGGAAATTACAGCTTATTAAAAAAGATAAAAATTACTCAGCATTGTATAACTAATGTCATGGTCTCTGTGGAGTATGAGAGTGTGGTTTAGTCACTAACAGAAGCAAAACAAAATTCAGAAGAGGGAAACTGAAACTACAACAAATTGTTTTGGTATGCCACAAAAAGAAAGCAAAAGTGCTGAAACTCTTAGATAATTCACAGAAGTGCGCAATGAGATGAAACACCAAAGCCAGGAGAGATCCAGAAGCTGAAGACCATAAATCACTTCTTAAAAAGCAGCATCTCCAAGTTACCTAAATTTACAGACTGAAGGAAAGTGCAAGAGTGCCAGATGAATGTTAAGACAACCAAAATGGTTTTCCCCGATAATGAGAGAGTCAAAACTTGCCAAAAAAAAAGGCAAGAAACCTGAAGATGAGCAGTAAAGACTTCACACCATTTGAAATATTATTGTAATTTTAGGAACTGCCTGATAAATTAATGACAGGAATCAAAATACGGCGCGCACACTCAATATCATAACGATAACGCTAGTTACTAATGAACTCAGCAAGGCCTTGAGGGAACAGAGCCACCATCAGCCAAAGCCAAGCCCAAGCTCCCACCCTGACACGCAACGCAGGCCCATGAGGACCTTTAGGGATGGCCGGAGGGAACCGTAACTCCACAAAACTCCCATATTAACCCCTGGCACAACTGCATGAAGTCCTGCTCCACTTTAGGTGCCAGCTCCCAATGCCAGCCCCACACGAGCAGTCACCTCTTCCTCAATACACATCTGAAACACATATTAAAGTAGAAGCAACACACACTAGAATCACAGAATATATGGGGTTGGAAGGGACCTTTGGAGATCATCTGGTCCAACCCCATAAACATTTTCGGCTTTAATATCCCCCTACCAATGGAAAGATAAATACCATCCTCAGTATCCTGCCTCATAAAACGCAATGAGGCAAGCAAAGATTAGGTAAAAACAAAACCACAAAAACCCCAAACACAAAACCTGCTGTAGGTTTCTCATTTAATTAATTTCTACACCTTCCTCTACGCATCTCTAATTGGCAAAGACACCACAATGGTTTTACACTGTACAGCAGCTTACTTTCAGAGCCGATACAGTGGAAACAAAGTGGTGACATGTTAACTGTGCTGTAAAGGAGGTGGCAAGGAGCATTTTAATTTCATCTGAAAATCTGTCAGGACAGTTCTGTCATCATAAACCCAGCTCCCCTCCTTCCTCATAGTCCCACACACAATGCAATGTGAAAACCTTCCAGCTGAAGAGGATTTACACTGACGTTTGAATTTTTCCAATGTATAAGTAATATCAGCTCTAATAACAGCCACACACGTCATCCTTTATGTCGTCTGACACCTAGAACAAATGCACAGAGCCCTTGTTCTCCCGACAGCTCGACACACCAGTGCCGGCAAAAAAGTAGGGAAGAAAAATCCTTCCAGGAGCAGAGCCGGTCATTAGAGCAGGAAAGAGCAGAGGAGGAGGCATCCGCGTCCCACACCGACTGTGTAGATTAATAGGAAGAGACCAGATAATTGGAACGGAAAATGGCTGCTTCAGCGACCTTTAGTGTGCTCAGTGCCAGCCCCGAAAATGAATCCTGAACATGGATACGCGCAAGATCTCATCAAGGAGAGAGGGAGCTGGTACCTGACAGCCAGGTGAGAGAGGAGCCGAGTCTATGGTAAGAGTTACAATTCTGGGCTTTGTAGATCAGTTACACCTCAATTTGCATCTCCCTATCATTCTGTTCCTTTAATTAGAGTAATGTGTCGTTCATAGCACACCGTAGGTGTTATAGACTGGCTTCGTTAAACAGATTTGAAATGTTAATATAAATGCTAACAGCTATGCAGAGTAATGAACAAGTATAGTACTGTAAGACTGATGAAATTCAGCTGGAAGAAGTATTTAATATAGCAAAGAAATCCCGAGCAACTGTCAAACAGCTCTTTCCTGTCAACACTCCTGTAACAAAGGCTTGAGATGATCTTTATGAGGGAAGCACTACTCTTAGCTGCTTAAAACAGATCGCAGAGCAGCCCGATCCTCCTCTGACGGGAGAGAAGTCTCCCAGCATCTCCACGGCCTGGAAGCGTGGTTTGCTGAGAAAAGCACCGTGGTTATTTTTAGCCCTCGACAGGCACAAAACTGCAGCCCTAAACCGTGACCCAGAGCCATGCACAGCCAAGCAGCGCATCATGCGCCTGGGCTCGGGCGAGAAGCACGCCCGGAGTGGCTGCAGCCCAGCATGATTCGTCTCCCCACCACCACCACCTGCGGATGGGTCTAGCAAGCAGCATTTGAAAGCCTTACCATCTTTTTTTCCCCAATTGCTGCCATCGGCAGAACTCAATTGAAAGGTAGGAGATCTTAATGGACTTTGCAGAAAGTATCTGAGACTGCGCTAGGTTAAACGGATTGCTGCTCCTCGCTGGTACACAGGATGAAAAAGAACCTTAAAAGCAGAAAAACTGTCACAGTCAGTTCACAAAGGCATTTTTCTAAGCCTAGTTTGAGTAAATGAAAACAAAAAAGGAAAAAAGAAAAACCCCTTGTTTTCTTCCAGCAGCAGTAACAGCCTGGAAACAGGATATGCCAGAGTAAGAGATCTTCAAGCAAACTCACCTGAAACAGCACTGCTCACAGGGAGCTGCAAAGGTAACTTATGTCATTTTATTCCAGTTCCTATGTTTGTGTCTGCACGACTCGTAATCTGCAAAATCTGCAATTTAAAAGCCTATTCCACCAGATTTCTGTTTCTAGGTTATGTAAAAAAGAATTTATTTAAAATAGAAATAGATACAGAAGTTTTAAAAACAGATCATGCAGACTTCAAGCACTTAACTTTATTTAATCACTTTTTAAACGTATGGGTAACTTCAAATTTTGGAGGTTTGGGGTTCTGTGTTTTGTTGGGAGTTTCTGTTGTTTTGTTTGGGGGGGTTTCTTGTTTAGCTGGTTTTGGGTTTTTTGTGGAGGGTTTGGGTTTTTCTTTTATTTGTTTAGGGTTTTTCTTGGGTTGTTTTGGTTTGGTTTTTTTATTTGTTTGGGGTTTTTTTAAACTATATATACTGCCCGGATAAAAAATGAAATCTTTCTAAGACGACAGATATGTCATTTTCTAAATGTTTTTAAATGTTGTAAAGTTCACATAGTTAACTCAGAAAACAGGTGTAAAATACTATAAAATGTAAGGCTTGTCAGATTTAATTCCGGCTTGGCAATTATTGTTAGTGCTACTTACATTGTGCTGCAAAATATTATAGGAGCACTGACAAAGTTTCCTGTGAACATTCAGTTGCTAAGAAGGCGGTCTACAGGCACAGCTATCGGTCAGACAGCAGTAAGTAAAATGTATTTTCTCTTCTCCCCTCTCACAGCTTAAAAATGCCTCTTTTTGGCTGGATGAAATGGTCAAAACCTGAATCCTACAAACCCACAAGATACCCTGGCTCAGAGGTAGTGACCAAAACGCTGCTGAGGGAACTGCGATGGCACCTGAGGGAGCGGGAAAGGTTGGTGCAGGAGATCGAGAGCGAGCAGAAGGTGCACAGGGTGGGCATGGAGCACGTCTGGCTCAGGAGCCACCAGAGCCCCCAGGGAACCATCCCGGCCACCGAGCAGCGGCAGCTGGAGCTGCTGTGCTCCCAGATCCAGCCCTGCCAGACCGCAACCGTGCTCAGCAGGTAATTATCTCGTATTGCTCCAAGAATCCCAAGATATTTCTTCCTAATCCAAGCTTGTATTTGGCTCTGAACTTTCTTCCAAAGCAACTGGAACGCGTTTTCACAGCTGTTTAGGAATTACATCTTTACTTCAACATGTTGTACTTGAAGGAAGTTTTTAGTGAGCATTTTCCTGGGCTAATCCAAAACAAGGGAAGTCTCACGTGCTTTAACATGTGGCTTCTTGATACTTTCAGTTTTTCATCTGTTCTTTATCTCCAACATTCACTAAATAGTAACCCAACAACCAAAAATGAAATTAAAGCACTGGTACACAGAAATCCAGCTTCACTGTCCAAAATACCTGACAGCTTCTAAAACTACAAAAATCAGTGTAAAACCAAAAAAGTTCCATTTATCATAAACAAACCCACACGTTTTGCAAAGAAAAATTCTCCTCTGTCTGCATTTTAAATACATTTTCTGGGGACACAAAGAAACAACAGAACAAGCCTATGTGCCTTTTAAAGCCCAGAATATACCTAAGGGCAAAGTCAGTTTAAATCAAGTTACCCAGACAGGGGAAAAAAAAAAGAAAAGAAAAAGCAAACACACTCAATAAGAATCACTTTCAATGCTCACAACAGCTGGACCTCATCCAGCGCATTGTTACAGCTCCTTCCCTCTTGTAATCTTCTGGGGAAGGCGTGTGGGGAAGTGTGGCAGCAAGGACTAAATGACACCACTGCAGTCATTTCCTCCTCCTTCCCTCCCCTCAAAACGCCAGAAAGGAAACAGAAGCAGTTTTCAATGCTGGTGATTAGATTTCTAATTTTGTGTATTTTTAGGTTTCGTGAAGTTTTGGCAGAAAATGATGTTTTACCCTGGGAAATAGTCTACATATTCAAGCAAGTTTTAAAAGATTTTCTTACCACTATTGAGAGAGCAAACCAACAAGACCCCGCGGCAGATGCGTGGGATACGAATTCCTCCGAACATTTTGGCCTGCGAGGAGACAGCTCTAACAAATCGGACAAAGACGAGATCCCCACGGTGTCCAGCTACGTGGACAAAGTCACCCAAAGCATGTTCCCCACCTTCTCCCACCGAATCTGGAACCTGCCCTATTACTACCCCTCGAGTTAAGTTGCTTTGCATTCCTTTCCCCTGATTGCCATCCACAAACATAGGAATAAAATGTGACATGCTCCCCCTTTCTCCAAGTTCAGAAATTGAAATCCTTGATTATAGCTAGTAAGCAGTAAACTAACTTTAATTATGAACTCTTCTTTTACCTTTATGGTTCCTTTTACCTTTATAGTTCCTTAAAGATGTTGTGTTTGAAGGCACCTTTTAACCAAAAATGTAGATGTTTCTGAAAAAACTTGGAAGCATTTTATTTTTTAGCCATATACAGCTAGATGTGTTTAAACAAAAGACTGCTTTCCATATTTTGATATAGCATCAATCCAGAAAGTATTAGGCAAAACCTTCTGTACTTATCACATAGCTTCTGGGCTCTATAAGAACTTTATACTGTGTAAGATAAATGGTTTCATATCATATCAGTGATACCAAATAAACTGGTAAAGACTTTTTGGAGCTGAATAGTTGTTTCTTAACTTCAAGAGTAAGCTCTAAAATGAAAAGTGACAACACACTGCATGTACTGTTCCTGTGGTTCTTCCAAAGTGTGCTCTGTATGTGCTGAAGTACTGTGAAGGCAGAGAACTAAATGAAAACATTGAATATTTAACAACATTTAACAACATTTAACAACCTAGCTTTCCATTCTTCAAGAAATTAATTAATTACTTTATTTCAAGTAGTTGTACTTCATTTGACTTACTGGAAGCCATTCTGAAACCCAGATTCTGCATTAAAATTAAACATTTTGATCAAACCACACAGTACATCTACAAAAGAGTCAACAGATCATTTCCAAAGCAAGAGGTGACCATTTTAAATTTAAGTGTAACAAAATTTCACGGTTTTCGGTTGCCATCATCTATCACTGTGAATTCACAGTAAAGTTTCACAAGATTGATTGGATACGTAGCAGTTACGGTCACAGCAGACAATTAGAGCAGAAAATCAAGAAAAACATATGCCAGAACTCAGTTTGCTACGTTTCCAATTGGGCTCCCATCGCTGTATCTAACAAATTCTTACATGTCTTTTATGTAACCTCTTCATCTCCAGATTTCCTTTTAATTCTCTCTGCCACATCATACAAAGTGGGCAAGACTCGCATGGCCCGATTCAGAAAAGGCACTGTTTTGTAAACACGGAGGAAAACTGCTTCCTCTGCTATCTTCTTCAAACATACCAAAGAGATTCAGATTTCCTTAAGCTGGGAACATACAACTGAAATAAAAATATCTCCTTATGCTCCACAGCCGTAGCCCCCACCCAAGAAATAACTTACCAATAGTGCAACATAAATTGGGTGAAACATATGACACAGTATTTTCATGAAAGATAAAAATACTGTTTTTAAAAGCCTTTGGAAAGCTTATAAATTAGAAAACATACAGAAGAGCAGTATATAATATACACAGGAGGTGAAACAATCAGAACTCCTCCATATACCAGTAAATCAGTTCCTACAGGTTTAGAGTAATAAAAAAGCAGCTCCACACCAAAAGTAACCGGCCCCTCCACTTCTCATAGACTAAACACACAGAACAGCACAAGCACGTGTAAGCTCATTGTGTCTGCACCCAGAGCTGGTACAAACTCCGTGCCCTTCTTTTGTGCAGTTGTCGGTTTGTGGCTAAGGAACAAAAGCGTTAATCTCCACTTACACTGCCCTTCTGATGCAGGATAAAGAGCAGCAGATCCTTTTCATGCAGTTCAAAACAAACCCGACACAGATCCCTGCAGGAGGGCAGGGATGGTCTGAAAGAAAGGCTTTTCCTCAGTGATAAAGCTCCCCAAAGACTTAAAGTAGCTTTTCCATAGGAAACAGGGTAACAGGTACTGAGCTACTGAGCACACGAAAGGCGTTAGCAGAATTATTATTACATTGAGAAGTAACATCCACAGTGCTGGATGTTTTTTTTCAGAAAATATTTTTATTTCATCAAATGTGGAAGATTCCTGCAACAGCAATTCACATACATTTGTTTCTTAAAACTTAGCTGGAAAATAGGTGAAAAAAAGCCCTGAAAATTTAGCTTCCAGATTTTAGTTTGTGCAAAGTGGTAGGCCAGTAAACATGCCAGGTCCGTGTACCTTTATGATCACTAAAAACAAGCAGGAAAAACCCAAAACAAAACCAACAAAAAACAACCCCACAAGATGACTACAGATACAACTTACCCCATTCTTCATGAATTTCACTTCAATCTCACTTTAAAATAAGGAAATGCAGTCTTCTAAGTCCAGAAACAAGGACCAGCAACTACAACAAATGCTAAAAGGCATCTGCTGAATAATGGTTTAAAAAAATAATTGTATCTAGGCAGCATAGCCAATTCAACGTTAAATCTCAGTGCAATGCTAAGGAAATGGAGAGAAAAGCTTAACTCCTTTAAAATGCATTTTTTATTGATGAAACTGATAGGAGGCTACTGCATCCAGCCCTAGTGTCCACGCTTTGGGGAAAGGAGGGGGAGAAATCAAGCTCAGAAATGCAGAGACTACAGGAAAAAAAATTACCCAAAGGCTGAGAAAATGCCATCCACTAAGACCTCACCTTGTCCAGTTTTTCAAAACCAGAAATGAGAGGTAATTGTATGGAATATGAACACTTTCATCTGATGCAAGTATTACCTACTCTCTCTCTAGTTAAAGAGCATAGAAAAGCACAGAAAAAAAGCAGAGGTATAAGAGCAAGAATATAAACTAAAAAAGATGAACGTATTTTTTACAAAATCTGTTGTGTTAACCACAACGTGCTACAAGGAGAATCTGTACCTCAGACGAGCTATTTTCTGGAGTTTAGCTTAGATTTCAGCTATGTCAGGCAGCAGTAACATGGCTGCAGGGCAGTCATCACTGCCCTGCTGAAGATGAGTGAGAACTCAACTGTTTCTTTAAGCCCTATGATTTGCATGAGGAGATCCATTGCTCCTCACACTCACCCAGCAATATTTGTGACATTGGCAGCAGCTGACACAAACCACCCCGTGACAGAAAGGTAAGCGGTGGTAACGTCAAAGGGCAGCAACATCTCCCACCTGCATAGGCATCGGGCAGAACAAACAGCTTGTGGCATTTTAGTTTAATAAGCTGGCTACAAAAAAGGTCAACTTGGTGAAAGCTACACCTAGAAAATGCAAGAAATCAAAGAGAGTAACCACCTTTTCCATACTTAAGCCTTTAAGCGCATTAAAGTGAACCATGATTATTTTGATAACAAGGAAGGATCTACTTTAAGGGTCTGAATTTCTTTTCATTCAGTTAATCACAATCAGAGGAATTAAAAAGTTAATCAACAAGCTATTTAGGGATCAAAATTCCAACCACAGACTCTGAGAACTATCACCCTTGCCTAACAAGCTCAATTACTAACACTGCTATTGTAGAGGTAGTTCAGGTAACAATGCTAAAAGCCCTGGAAAGCGAGGCATCAATGGAAAAGAACACATCCCACATCTCTTTTTAAAGGAGACTTGAGGCTTTTGGATCCCATTAGACAGTGTCAGTTAACATTTTCATAACATTAGTTATTGCACACACTTGTGTGCAGTAACACATCTGTTACTACCATCACCAATTTGGTATTAATCCTACACATGCTTACATACAAATTCAGACAGAAGAAGTAGGAAGACAGTCTCCATCAATAGTTGTATATCAGTGTTGAAATAGATATAAATAAGCATCAGAAAACTTTGAAATTATTTTTATTTTGGTTTTCCCAAGCAACAAACCAGGAGTTTTGAAGGAAATATTATAATAGACTACTATGCTACAAGCAGCCACAACAAAAGGAGAAAAAATATCTTTTCCAGCTCTTCAAACTCTTTAAGAAGTCGCTAAATAAAATCTCAGCATTTCCTACTTGAATCTAAACCTCCTCAAGATTCTTCAAGTTTTGCAAAAACCCTCTAAACCTGAGCACATTCCCTGAGCTGTGAAACAAAAGCTTATATGGAAATAAAACGCAGCTAAGCAAACACACCTTATGAATGCTCTTCTTATTCTGCAGCAGCACACACATGCATCATCCATGCTCAAAGATTTTATACATGCCTAATGATGACAAATACTCTCCCCACTCACATGAATGGCTATTTAGGATGCATACCCTCTCTCTTTCTCAGATAGGAAAGGAAAAAAAGAAAAAAACAACCTGTAAAAATAAATTCTGTTAACACAACTGTCAGACCCCACAATTAGGTTGTGTGCTAAGGCTCTGGAGTGGAAAAAGCTGTCTGACCAAAGACAAAGATTTGCCTCTGCCCAGGCACAGGCTTGATCAATCTCACTAATACCTTCTATGTTACTGAGTAGGTTTCAGTGGCTTAGTGCTCAGTTGGGTGCAAGAATCTCTTGTCAAACCCACATACTACAGAAATGTTACTGGTACCTAAATAAAGGCAAAGAAGTCCCAGCATACTGGGTTTAGGAATCACATTCACAGTAAATAACCTTAAGAAACTGTAAAATTCTGTCTGGTCACTTCTAGGAAATGCAAACTACTTGCATGAAAACCTGTGGCTCTCAGTCAGAGATTCAGAGCTTGCTAATGGCAGCACTTCCACATTACAGGATGAGAGGGGATGGATATTTTGATGTGCCAGTTTTGTCCTTTCCTAGAAGCAAAGGCAGACACCATTAGCCCGAATAGTCTCTGCTGTCAAGCTATTAGGCAAAGGGATCACTGTTTTTCAGAAGCCAACACACACCCTTTAAGAGAAATCCCGAAACAGTGACCCACGGTGCTGTACTTCACACAGGAAAAGAAAAAGAATAGCTCTAGACTGTTCCTCCAGCTAATTCTGAAAAATACTTTAGCATACAAAGTGCATACAAAACACTCTCCTCTAGCCACCACGGACACACTAACCAAACCTGATCTAAATACTAGGTTTACCATGCACTGCCATAACACCTTACAGTTTAGGCAGCATCCAGAGGAAAGTCTTTCCTTTTTTCCTAGACACTAGTGCAAACCAAAGGTACCTGGCCAGTAT